CCTCTATGGGTCAAGGTGATCTTGAACTTGCCTGCACTGGTTACTTATGGATTTTCAACATCTTCAGCGTTTTCTATGGGTCAAGGTGAGCAAGCTTACTATCCTAGTATCCCTCAACAGGAGCTTTCCACCTGGGTGGCAAGTCAAAATATGATCTATTCTAGTGGCATAGAGAACTTAAATGGGACGCACCTGTGGGATGGCCTCCTGCCCTGGCAGTCTCTATGCCGGAATTGGAACCCTGCTCTTCCTGCTTCCATAAATGCGCCCATCAATTTCTCCCTTTCCCCGCCTCATGCTTCCACATCCTTGCTTCCATTGCCCCTTATTTTCACTCCTTCACAACAATCCATGTCCAGCTTCTCACTATCTCAGGTTGATATGGGATCACCACCTTTTCAGCATGTTGTTTCAAGGAGGACTAGTAGTCAACACCATTGGGATGAGAGGTGTTCGAGTGTCACAGCACCAACAGTATCAACAGCTAATGAACCTGCCAAGTCCAAACAGCTGCGTCCAAACAACTGTGTCCAAGGGGGTGTGTCTCATTTGCCTTGTCAAGGAGAGATGGTGGTGGTGTTTGGAGAAGACAAGCCAATCATTGGCTCAACTCTGGCAAAAATGTCAATACCATCATCACAACTTTGGCATCTGCTCATTGGGATTCGGACATTCATAACCCCAGTGTTTGGATTGATAGTGTAAAGTCAGCAATGGAGGGGAGTGAGTGTCTGGATAAGAGCTTGGGTTCCATAGTGCAGAGGTGTAGAGGTATTAATGGGAAGGAAATTTGCATCAACTTTCTGTTGATGATAAACTACATGCAGCTAGTGACAAAATGTCAGAGGTGAGTCATTTTGATATTCATTAGCATCTGATGAATTTAAACTAGTACACTACACTTTCTATAGCATTAAACTCTGTACCCAACAGTTTCTCAATGGTATCTACAATACAGAAGTTGCCCGTCTCCCAACAAAGCCTAGTAAATGAACTTTTCAAGACTGGCATTTGATTAGCAGTAAATTTGCTGCAATTTCCGGAGGCGGGTCAGTCTATATACTGATTCTGGTGGCAGGACTTGGTCTCAGGGTATCTATAGCCTGAATGGAGGGCACCCTGCCATGGGACTTGGCCAACCTTCTATGATCTCCCATCCCTGGTGAGTATGATCTGTACTATGGCAAAGGATATTGTTTGGCTAATATTTCAGTTAGGAACCACGGAGGGTAATCTGATTATAGATCATATCATACACTATATCAGTCACATCTGTTTCCAATCAGTATGGCCTCCATGTTCTCCCCATCAACACTTTCAGAACACCATGTTATTAAGTACAAATCTTAAAAGAAGTGTCTAGCCATTTGCTGAGAGCAATCAGGGACTGGAAACTAGAGTCCAATGTGGGTAACTATATTATTAGAGAGTATGACAGGTATACAGTATCTAGAGTCCAATGTGAGTAGCTAAAAAATATGAAGTATTGGACTCTGTAGTACTGTCCAAAGTTTTGTAAACAAATGTAAACAAAGGAGCCACAGAGGCAAAATAATAGATAACACAACCAATACTAAATAATATAGGAATAGATAGGGGAAAGAATGAAAATAAGTAGAAAGCACTAAGGTGCAGAATCACCAAAATTAAAATATGTTGCTTGGGAGTTTGATTACACTGACATTGCATCTCTTGAAAGATTTTTTGACTCTGTGATTTTAAGTAAGTCACTTATTCATTCTTGCATTCCATCATTGCCTGATTTTTTTCATACACAGCAATTTTACAATACACAATTGACATGCTCAACATTGGGTATCATGTTATGATAGGACCATTGACACCAGCCTTCATTGACACCAGCCTAACTCACCTATTCCGCTCCATCAGCGTGGCTATGAGCTCCTTTTGCGAATGTCATTTTTCCTGCCTAGACTTTACAGCCCTCCTATCAGATTCACAACACTATTTGGAATCTTCAGAAGGTAACAGTGAAGATGAACAAGTTTCATATCTAATTATTCAGCAAAAAGGCACCAAAAAGGAGAAGATAGTCATACATACTGCGTATGACCAATTACTACCTCAAAATAAGCATTTCTAAGCAGAACATGATTGTCAAGCCAACAATAACAATGTCTGGACGGAGTGTGAACAAGAGCATGCTGAGAAGTGCAACAGAGTTAATGATGTAGATGATTTGCAATGACAGGTATGTAATTCATCTTCAGTATGCTATAATACATATAATAGCTCATTTGTTGTCAGCTCCGCTGTCATGCACCAAAGTTGATTGGTAGCATGGACAGGTGTCAATAACAAAGCAAATATTCAAAAAGACTCGCCTTTGTGCCACACAGGCACAGTGCCACGTGAAATAGCAATCCAGTCACGCTCACCTTTGCTTTTCCATTCGGTACTTTCCGCATTTCGGCATTTTGGCAAATTTTCACGTCGCCACTGGCTACACATTGCATTGCACCCTCATTTTTGTCGTTTCCTTCACTTCCCTTCCTTTGCCTAGCCCCACCATGGGCCCCTTCCTCTCCTTTTTATTCTCACCTGATGGTCGTTTCTGGATCCCCATTCTAATACACCTTTTCGTCACCTCCACCCTCTTCCTCCTCATCTTATTTGCACCCCCACCATTTCTGATGTCACCACTTCCTATCCGCTTTCATCGCTGATCCGTCGACTACCACGTGCCACTGCTGATATCAGCAAAGCCCCGGCAGCCGGTTCAAATAGGGCAACAGGTCCATCTTTATGACGTCAATCTACCATCATATACTATCAAAACATCGGTCGCTTGTCTTGCCTGGTTGGGGCGTGGGTGGGTAGTTTTTGAGCTGGAGAAGGTTCAACCCCTTGCGTCGCCCATATTCATTGCTGTCCCATTCACTTGGGTACACTTATCTTTTGTCCATCATCTTCGCTACAGCTACACCTACCACACGCTGCCTGGGACTCACTTGTTCCAAATTGGGACTACTCCTCTCCCTCCCTCGTTTGACCAGGTGGTTCAACACAACCAGTCCATTGGTGAGGCCATGGAACTGTTGGATTTGGACTAGGTGGTGGACCGGTGGCTCCAGTTTCTGTTTTTTCAGCAGAACATTCATTTACAGTGCGATTATTTTTGATTTTTAAATCATTTTTATGGACACATATTTTTTAGAATGCCTGACTGACAATAAAGGAACTGTGTTGATACTGATAGTGTTTTGCCTTGCCCTTTTTTTACCTGTATCTTCCCATGACATCATGGTTTTCCTGCTCTCTTTTTGCTATTGGACTTTACTTTATGGCTGTACAAACCTGTGACATTACTCACAGCATCCATTGTTCTATCCCTTTCTTTTCCTTTTTTTGACAATCTTATCCTGTACTACCTACACAGAATTCATCAGCGTACATTCCTTCCTTCATGTTCTTTCTCATTCTTTTTGCACAGCTATACTGTGCATAGCCTACTTTTCTTTTACTATATAAACCCCTGTATTTTACCTTGTAAAGAACAAGAACTCAAATCCAGACTTTTTCTCTAATCTCAAGTTCACTACTCACTACTACTTGTGATCCAGTGTGGTCACAACACTTCCCATTGCTACCACTGTTAACTGCTGTCATTGTCACTCGTCACTTTTCAAAAGTAATTGTCATCCCTTTCGATTAGAGTCCTTCTGAGCACTACAGTCTGTGCGTCAGGAGCCTGCTATTACTGGGAACTTTGTCACCTCCATCATATTGTCATTCTCAAACCTACCTTGTGCTACTATCAGCAAGGTAGTGCTCGTCTATACTCGCCACAAAGCCCCTATCTTTCTATATTCCAACTATCCCTCCTCCTCAAAACTCACACCCATACATCTCTGGGTTTTACTTTGAAGGATCCTCATACATACCACCCCACAAACAACCAGAGCACCCACTCTTCTAGGAGGCAAAGCCCATAAACAAGTTCCATGGAATCTGGGAGGATTGTGTGTTAGTTTGTTTTTGTGTGTGGTTTTCTAACAACAGTTCTCATCATCAACACCGTTCACCATCTACTGTGCTCCCTGACTGTATTTTGGATATTTTCTCATCCAATATTAACCCAATACCTTCATGGGTGGTTGTGCCAAGTCAAGCACATATGGTGTCACCAATGACAATGTCATCTATTATCCTCAAACACATTGTGGACAGTTGTTCTGTGCAGGAGCCTTACAAGCAACAAAGAAAACAATGATACTAATGTAGTAAGTTTTTTGATAAAAAGCTTGTTATCCATTTTATTCCTCCACTGTGTTGCCTGACTGCCCATGTGCGAGATACTGGGGTGTTTTGGGCTCCTTAAGGTGACCACATTGTGGTACAAACTCCTTGCTCAGTACTTCAGCATCCCACTCATCTTCAATATCTTCCATGTCGTTGGTGTTGGGTATAGTATGTGGCCCGTGTAGATATACTCCATCAACTCTACCAAGGTGTTGTAAAACATCTGATTCACTGGTGCTCTAGCTTGATGACCAACAAAAAGCTGGATAATTGTATTTGTAGCCTCCCACCTTGCTTTGGTGTACGGCATTTCAAGCACGGTTGGTCACAGCTACTGTAATCCCAATATATCCAAGTGCGCAGTGGATCTTGCTACAAATGCTGCAAGTTTACCTTTTTTTTAAATGTTTAGCCCCTGCTCAAAATCATCAACAGCTTCAAAGCCTGACATCCAACCAGGAGTCAGGACATGAACTTTATTGTCCCTTAGCCACTGCATGAGAGCACATAATTCTGAGTCCATATGTGGCAAACTGTGGCTTTTTGTGCATGGTTTGAGTGATACAGCTGCCTCTATTTCCTCTTGCAGTCGCAGGAATGACAAGATGTGCATGGACACCACCCATTAGTAGTAGGGGTCATCAAATTATTTTCCCTTGTGAACCACCATCTCCTCCAACCAGAAGTTTAAATGTTCTTGCAGCAGGTCTAATTTTATAAAGCAACCAGGCAATCCATTAAGATTTGCTAACCAATTTTGAAACACCAACCCTACTAGCGCCTGCAAACGTGAATATCCAAAGCTGTAAGGCAAAAATTATGAGTACTGTTACGCTGTAATTAGAAGCCATATACTAACCTTCAGAATTTCCCAGACTCTACTGGTGTCTCCATCGCCGATAGTGCATTGAACCTCCTGCCACCACAGAGCATTTCACATGAACAGGATAGCATTAGACAGTGCATTGTCTTTCTGCAAATCTTGTGCGGCTGTTGACACATCAGACAGGACCAATAAAGTTTCAGAATCAATGTCACTTCCTCGTGACCTGCCCTCATCAGCAGATTGACTAGGACGTTGAGCCATGTTGAAGGCTCATGTTGTTGAATATATTTTGGAGAGCAAACCAGCTACATCCAACAAAGTGGAGAATGCTGGTATGTTTCCTTGTTCTGCAAGTTCTTGGAAATAATCAACCAGACCTTTACAGCCAGAGTGAAGTCTGAACAATAATGCAATGTATGTAATGCCTCTGCAACTAGTTTGTTAACATAACTTGCAACTAATGTCACCACACAGACTGTACTTTGGTCAGGCAGATTTGTTTGACTATTTTTGCAGGCTTGCAGAGCAAGATAAACTGCCCAATTTTGAGGACTTAGAAGCCATTGCCTGTAAACTTCACCGCTCATATTCAAGTACCCATGGTTTATGTAAAGCTTTTGCAAGTACTGAATATCCAGAGCAAAGCTTAGTAGTTCCACTTGGAACACCATGGGCTGAGGATCCTGATAGTGTCAGGGCCACCTCTGACACCACACCACAGGAATCATCATTCAAAGGAGACTGTGTCCTTGCACAATTTATTGCATTTATACAAGACACACTCATATCTCATGAGGTAGCATTGGCAGTGGCAGAAGGTGATGTGGGCCGTGTGTATGAGATGGTCAAGGTACATTAATTACAATCCTTCCTTACCGTCTATTATAACAGCTTTTGTTTTCAGATTATGCTATTTACCAGCACAATAGGGATAAAGATGGTGGGAGAGTGATAACTGTGAAAAATCTGCAATTTTGTGGATTTTGTTAATATGACTCAGAAGCTTTTTGATAGTATTATCCAGAATAAAAGCATCAGGTGGCAGCATGCCATATAATACTTCATCTGCATTACACCATAGTTCAAACCAAAATAACTGCAGACGCTGGATACCATGTTCCTGCATTTCCTTTGACAACCGAGCAAGACCAGCTATCCTTGACCTTGTATTGGTGGGTGGAGCAAGAGACATTGGTTCGGGGGTGCAGTTACTGCAGACACAGGTTTCTCAATGGGTAGGTGGGGGATTATGAGTGCATGTGCAACAAGTACAGGGTACATCTACTGACAGATTGTCATAGATGTCATTCTGCTCTCTAATCTTGCAAGAAGCTAGAATTACTTGAGCCATACTCTTGTTCATCGAGTCTGGTCCCATTTGCTTATTTGTTGTTTTTGTGCAATTACTGGTTGTTTTCCCCTCTATCACAGTTTTTGCAGTTGAGACAATGGTGCGTGATATATATATGATGCCCTGTGGGTAAGGAGAATTGGCTGCGACTGAGGATGTCATAATTTGAATCCTCCCAAGCTTTTGTAGCAGCTTGGCAGAATCATTTGGTTCACCAAAGATAACAACAAGCCTTATGTGTGGTGAGTTGAAGCCAACTGAGAGTGTGTCTGTAGCAATGATTATCTGAGCTGTGGGATCATTGTTGAGAAATCCAAGTGTCTCTTAATTGTACATCGACCAGTTTAATGAGTTATAAAGCCTGATCTTCTTTGTTGGCTGAGGATTATTCTTTGCCACTCTCCACAAGTGAGCTGTAACTCAAAAGCCAAAAGAGACTGTACAACAGAATATGATAACGCCAACACTACTCCCAAGGACCCAATCTAACTCTGGGAAGCTTGTACTTGCCATTCCAGACTGCATCTCACGGAAGATAATCTGTATATCACTACGCAAGTTGGACTGACAAATGAAGTGGTAATAGCCATCCTGTAACCCAAGAAATTTACACACACTCTGGGTTGGCCTACCTTTTTGTAGGGTGGCTGTAGTAGCCAGCAAAGGTGGCCTTGTCAAATTTTGTGCTTGGAGAGAACCAATCTGCTGATATGTGGGTCGTAATTGTTGGCCCCATGAATTTAGGAGGTGACTTTTATCTACTCCCATCATGGCTATTTGAGTGCTGAATATTTTGAAATCTATCAATTGTCCAAATCCATGACTTTTCAGTTGATCGGGTGATAGAATAATTATGGTTACTCCATTTTGAACTTCTTTGAACAGATCACGGCCACCCCTGTAGGCTGCTTCAACTGTATCTGCATTAATAGCAACAGCAGTAAGGTTTGCGCACTGCATCTTTCTTTCCTGAGTATAGGTTAATTTTAATAATGGTGGTATGCCGGTGCACAAACAGAAGTGACGTACCAATAAGGGAAGGCCGTCAAGCCAGTTATTGATGTGACCAGGGGGATGATTCGCAGCTATATAAGACACAGCTGCATGAGGGATGGCAGGTATGGTAGGTGCAGCAGTGACAGCAGGTGAAGGCATGGCACAGTAAGTGCAGTAGGTGCAGGTATATTCCCACAGCATCTGTCTGTCTTATCTCTGTACCCGCCCTCTGTGAATCTACTCAAGCTTCTGCTCATTTTTATCACAGCAGTGGTGGGTTTCTTCATTCAACAGTACATGCCTCTTGCATGGCACTCTCACTGCTCACAAATTGTATGGAGTCACTACCCCCACTCAAACTGTCAATGTTGCACTTTCTGTTACACTGGATGTTTGGCAGCGCCGCTTGGGCCATGTCAACTATTACACTGTCTCCATTATGGCACAACACAGGTTAGTACTAGGTATGCCCTCTGTTCTCCCTTGCAAAGAGCTCAAATGTAAAAGCTGTATACTTGGGAAGCAAACTCATAATCATGTTTCACCCATCCGCTTAATCCAAAGAGTACTCGTTGCTCGAGTGTTGTTTATGTTGACTTGATGGAAGTTGGGGCAACATCTGCAAAAGGACATGTATATATACTCAATATAAAAGATAACTTCTTATCCTACTCATGGTCCATCCCTTTATAATCCAAAGATGCCACTTTCCCTGCTCTGCAAAACTGGAAAAAAGTGCATGAAATTGAAACAAACTCCACAATTGGCATATGCTGCTCTGATAATGGGGAACTCATTGGCAATAACATGAAGTCTTGGTTAATGTCTCACGGTTTTTCTTAGCAATTTACTGCCCCCCACACTTCTGCCCATAATGGCCACATTGAGCATCTCCACCGGACTCTCATGAACATAGCATGTGCTATGTGACATGCTTGTCAAGCACATCCTTCCCTTTGAGTTGAATTTGTCCTGACCGCTAACTACCTCACTGTCAGGTCTTTCTCTCGTGCTATACCAAAGACACCATAGGAGTTAAGGTTTGGTTGTATGCCTGACCTCTCCTATTTGTGAGAAATTGGCTCTCATGCCTTCATTCTCACTCAGAACCAACACAACCCAAAAGTGTTTGAGCACTCTAACAGGTAGGTACTGATTAGACTTGATCTAGATTCAAAAGCCTATCATTGTGATGACTGCTCATCTCATCATGTCATTCATTCATCCCATGTTACATTCATTGAGTTGCATCAATCTCTCCCTGCAGGTACAGCAAGCTCACCTTCACACATCTCTTTGCCCCCACCTTCCACATCCATTTCCCCTGTCACTCAACCTTTTTGCCACTCCACCCATGCCCCCCTTCCTTCAGAATGAGTTGCTACCCTCAATCTCCCTTATATTCCCTCTACCAACATCATTCCTGCCCTAGTTGTGTCAGACAGATCCATAAATGCCATCAATCCTGATAATTCACCCACTTTTCCACATGCCATGGTAAGCCTATTTGCCTCTGAATGGTCTGTCGTCCTTCAGGAGGAGTTCACATTTCTTTTTTTAAAGCCATAGGTGTTTACACCCTTATTCCATGCTCTGATGTTCCCACTGGTTGTCACATCATGTGTGGATGCCCTGTCTTCAAGCTCAAACATGATAAACTTGTATTAAGAACAAAGCTTGAAGGAAGTGTCTAGCCACTTGCTGAGAGCAATCAGGGACTGGAACTAGAGTCCAATGTGAGTAACTAGATTATTAGAGAGTATGACAGGTATACAGTACCTAGAGTCCAATGTGAGTAACTAGAGAATAGGAAGCATTGGACTCTGCAGTACTGTCCGAAGTTTTGTAAACAAAGGTAAACAAAGCAGCCACAAAGGCGAAATAATAGAGAACACAATCAATAGTGAATGATAGAAGAATAGATAGAGAAAGGAATGAAAATATATAGGTAGCACAAAGGTGCAGAATCACCAAAACTAACACTCCCCCCTGATGCTGCACCTCCCAAGCATCAGCTCCCCCCTGATCTAATAAGTCCCATCATCTTCCTGAACACTTCCACTTTAGGCTTGGCAAGAGCCTTGGTCAACAAGTCTGCAGGCATTTCAGCAGTAGGAACAAAAATAGGAGCAATCTGCCCAGAGTCAACAACATCTCTCAACCAATGCCATCGCAGATCAAGGTGTTTCATCCGACCATGGTGCTCAGGGTTCTTGGATACAGAGATGGCAGATTGGTTGTCAATATGAAGGGTGGAAGGAGAGGTGATAGGATAGCCCATTTTCTTCAACAAATTTCGCATCCAGCAAATCTCTTTGCCAGCCTCAACAGCAGCAATGTATTCTGCTTCAGTGGTGGACAGAGCAACAATGTTCTGAAGCTTGGAGCTCCAGGAGACAGCACCAGATCCCATCTTGACAATATAGGCACCAGTAGAACGACCAGAGTCCTTGTCACCACCATGATCAGCATCAGAGAAAGTGGTGAAGAGTTCAGTGGAATTGGGATCAGAACCAAGGACAAGGGAATGATCAAGGGTGCCTTGCAAGTAGCGGAACAAGTGCTTGACAGCGCTCCAGTGAGTAAGACCAGGATTAGAGTTATATCTGGCAAGGACTCCAACAGTGTAGGCAATGTCAGGACGAGTGGTAGTGGCCAGATACATCAGAGCACCAACAGCAGCAAGGTAGGGAATGTCCTTCATCAAAGCAGCATCACTGGATGTTTTGGGAGACATGTCCTTGGTGAGGCGCAAACCAGGATCCATGGGAGTGGACACAGGCTTGCAGTCCTTCATGCCAAAGCGCTCCAAAATGTCCAGAGTGTACTGATGTTGGGAGAGGGAGATGGTGCAATTACTTAGGTCTCTAGTGATGGAAATGCCAAGTAGGTAAGAAGTAGGGCCAAGATCACGAAGCTTAAAGTGCAGGGAGAGGTCCTTGACAGCTTGGTCAAGTGCAGAAGTAGAAGTGGATGCCAGTGTCATGTCATCAACAAAGACAGGCAGGATAATGCGCACATCAGCTCTGTTAAAGACATAGATGGCAGAGTCTGAATAAGTACGCTTGAATCCGAGTTTTTCAAGCACAGTGTGCATCTTCTGGTTCCACATTCTGCCTCCCTGCTTTGTCCCATAAATGGCCTTGTCCAACTGGCAAACAAGATTGTGAGGACCCTGATGGAATCCCTCTGGCTGATGCATGTAGACCTTGACATCCATGACTCCATTCAGGAATGCATGGGAAATGTCAATGGAGCGCAAATGGAGGTTGTGGATGGCTGCAATGGCAAGGACAACTCTGATGGATAATATGCGGACAGTAGGTGCAAATATTTCGAGGAAATCAAAGCCAGGGCGCTGGTTATAACCTTTGGCCACATATCTGGCCTTGTAGCGCTCAACAGTGCCATCTGAGTTGTGCTTGATCTTGAAGACCCACTTGCCACCAATAGCCTTGACTCCAGGAGGTAGTTCCACTAGTGACCAAGTACCATTGCGCTCATGAGCTTGAAGCTCTTCCATGGCTGCCTCTCTCCATTTATCTGCATCAGGACGCTTCATTGCATCTGCAAACGACCTAGGCTCAGCAGAGTCTCCAAAGTGTGCTACTTCATCATCAACTGCCTCAGAATCACTGTCATCACTCTCAATGGCAGGAGTAGGTTGTCTGTGTTGAAGCCACCATGGTCTAGGTGGTCTCCTAGCCTTTACAGGGCGTCTCAGTGCAATAGGAAAGTCAGGAGAAGGTGAGCGATGAGGAGGGTGATTTGGAAGCTCAGGAGGTTGATTCACAGGTGGTTTTGCATCAAGGTCCAAATGAGGCCCATTGTCAGGCAATGGCTGAGGCTGCTGAAGTGCAGCTGGTGGGCCCATATCTCCCCCTGGACCTGGTGCAGGGACATCCTCAATCAGGCCCAATGGCATGGATAGCGAAGGTGGAGTGGGAGGTGGAGGTGGGACATTGTCAGAAGACCTCTTCAAGCCAGGGAAGTAGCGCTCATCAAAATCAGCTCTCTCAGAGATAACAGTGCGCTTGGTGGTAGGATTGTAGAATTTCCATCCCTTGTACCCCTCAGGGTAACCAATAAACACACATTTCTCCATATGAGAGCCAAAGACGCCTCTTTTGTCCTTTTGCACATGCACATAGGCAGTGCAGCCCCAAACGCGAAGGTGAGACATGCCAGGCTTGCATCCATACCACAACTCAAATGGAGTGGCATGAGCCACTGCATCAGTGGGACACCTGTTCCAGACATGCACCAAAGCGGACAGACATTCACCCCAGAAGCTGTTAGGCAATGCAGACTCTGATAACATGGCAGTGATACGCTCAGTCAGAAGTCTGTTTGCTCGCTCTGCCACACCATTCTGCTGAGGACGATTCCTGGTGGTATGCTGTCTGACAATCCCATGGTCATCTGTGAATTGCTCAAATTCCTTGGACATGTACTCTCCCCCTTTGTCATCGCGCAGAGCCTTGATTTTACGCTCCAATTGAGTCTCAGCATAAGCCTTGAATCTCTTGAAAGCATCAAAGACATCTGACTTGGCCTTGAGAGGCACAACAACACGGAATTGACTGTGATCGTCAATGAAGGTGACCCAGTAGCGATAACCAGAGAATGTGGGGGAAGAGACTTGGTGTACATCAGAATGGATGAGGTCCAAAGGAGCAGAGCGAGTATCAGATGAGGGGAATGGATTGGCATGCATCTTGCCAGACAAGCACGGTTCACAGACAGGATCAGGAGCAGCCTTGGATTCCAGTGTAAGCCCAGTGACCAGATCTCTCTGTATCAGTCTCTTGACATCAGCATGATGGTGGTGAGCCAATCTGCGATGCCAGAGCATCAAATCAAGTGGTATAGTCGCAGTAAAATGTCCCAATTCAACACAAGCAGCAGTAGATCCATCAAGGAATGCTGCATTGTTGTCATTGATAGTTGCAGTGAACAAGAGAGTGTTGTCACGCATAAAGGACATGGAATGAGACAAAATAGTGACATTGAAACCACTTTGACGAGTTAAATACAAGACTGAGAGGAGATTATTTCGAAGATCTGGTACATGGAGCACTCTAGAGAATTCCACAGCCCTAGCCACTTTGCCATTCATCACAGGATTAAACACCACAGTACCAACACCAGCTGAATAG